GAGAGGCCTTGTGACACACTAAATGCGAGAGTATAAATTGAGAATGTTAGTTTTTCATTGGGGTGGGGGGTTGGGTGGGTTAGACATTAGTTTCATTTCTCCGTTCTTAGAACCCTAGATAGAAAATTTACTTCGATCATTTATTGTTTAATTTAAATTCCAAGTTTCAATACAAGCATTAGCTAGATTCAAGTTTCATTTAATTTCTATTTTGAATTGGAGTAAGGATTGAAGATTTAAATTTGCAATTTCATTTCTAAATATAGAAAACCGTTCTAATTTCATTTCATTTCATTGTAATTTTGCTTAGAGTTAATTAGCGAAATGGTCTCTTGACTATAGTAAGGTTGTTATGGGAGTAAGATTTTACTACTTGATAGGCCAAATAGACAACGAGATTGGCTTTGGTAATGAAAATATCTTCCAAGAATCATGATAAATGCATTACACTACTTTCTATACTTAGGACCATTCTATTGCATCCCATCAAGGAACACCTAGTCCTAGTTCCCTCCATTCACTTGATTTCTATTAGTTTCTTTACTTGCTTTCCTTACATTTGTATGTTACTCTATTTTTCCTTAGTGCTTTGATAATGCGCTCTCTCTTAAATCTTGAGACCTAGCTTTCTACGTAACTTTTCATGGGCACAAATCTAATGCATTTAGGATACTTTAAGTTATGTTATTTTATTTTTGGATTATATGAGAATAAAATAATGATGAAAATAGATGACTTAGTTTGCATATAAATGACACATTTTGATCTGTCCTAATAATATCTTGAATAATAGCTTCTTGTACAATTGGTATACTATTTGCTTCGGATGCTTCTAATAAGAGATTTGATGTGTTTTCAAAAAATAAGAGATTTGATAAACATACAATCTACTACTTTATAATGAATGCTATATAGTATAACAAATATAAATGTTCAATTTAAGCATAATATTATTAAATTTTCAATTAAGACAATATGAAGTTTGCATAATGTACCTTATACTTTATGAGTCTTTATTCATAATTAATTAGTGCGAATTATCATAAATTCGAATTGAATTTCAATTCAAATTTTAGGTAAACTTGATTAATTATCGATTGGTATAAGTATATGTTGAATTATGAAATATCAGAATTTAAGTTAAGCTTGAATATTAGATGTTAAAATATAATAAGTTATATATTAACAAATAAATATATTTTTTTTGAAGGTAAATAAATATATATTATAATAATATTATAATAATTTTCAAAATATCTTCATTAATGTTTGTGTTTTATGTTTTTTTTTTTTTACTAGAATTGGAAGTGTTTTATGTTATTTTTAGTTTGATAAAAAAAAATATTAATACTAAAATAATAAATTAAATAAAAAAAAAGGTTTGAATCTATAATTTTTTTAGATATACCCAATTAACTCAAAATAATTTTACTGATGATATTGAGTTATTATTATTATTATTATTATTATTATTATTTTTGAGTGCTATTGGCTCTATTACATTGTAGTATCTGTTCATAGAGTTATTATTTAATTTAGATAACAAAATTTTAAAAACATCGTCTGAAATAGTTAAATATTTATAATAAAATTCAAATATCATTCATCTTTTTCAAAAAAAAAAAAAAAAAAAAATTATCATTCATCTAAATCGAACCGACCCTGCCCAACTCATAATATAATTTATAATTACATATCATCAATTAATGTTCCCGTACTGCTTTCAAAAAAAAATTAATGTTCCCGTACTCTTCGCCTAACTATATATTTATAATAATTTAGAAGTAGTTGGATGTGAAGATCGATATTTATGAATTAGTCATGATAGTACGAGTTAAAATGCAGATAATCATTGCATAGAGTAAAGTTTGTTGCATGCGATATTGTGATTGCAGCTTTTACCTTTCAGAGTATATACATATCTTCCAAGAACAGGTTGCCAGCTTGGATGAACAATTTAATAAGCTAGATTGGCTATATATATAGGCCCCTCTTCTTTTTTACTTTTTGGAGACCATATCGAATTTCAATCTTCATATATATACTAAAACTATTAGGAAAACGGACAAATACACTTCAAAATTTTATATAAAAGTTAATTAGACTCTAAACTTTTAAAAGTTAGGTTATAATGAAGTATATCATTAATATTTTATTTTCGTGCATCAAAATCCAAAAATCAATTATTGACTTGTAATAACTAATATCGGTCACCAGAGTTCTCACGAGACTCAGACTAGCTCCAATGACGCTTTGGCGACTAAACTCGACAATCGACGACTAACGAACGGTCACTGATTGCCTTTGAAGAAGGTGACCAGTTAGTTACATTCTTCATTGGAGAAGGTGATCAACATGTTGCTTCCTCCACAAGAAAGGCGATTAGCCTCCATTAGAGATAGCGATCAACAGGTTGCATGCGGATGGAGGAAGTGACAAGCTTACTTCCTTCTCCACTTGAAAAGGTGACCAGTACATCGATTTTTTTAATTAGAGAAGTCGCCTTCTTCAAAGAAAACTAGCGATTGTTCATTAGTCATTGGTCGCCGAAACGTCGTCGGAGCTAGTCGAAATCTCACTGGAACCTTAGTGACTAACTATTACAGGTCAATAATCAGTTTTTCAACTCTAATGCACGAAAATAACATGTTAATAAGCTTAATTGTAACTTTTAAAAGTTTAAAACCCTAACTGACTTTTTGCATAACATTCAAATGACTATTTTAGCCTTTTCTCAAACTATTATTATTATGTTAAAACGATTCTCTTTTAGGTTATGTTTTATAAAGAGTTACTTTTAGTAATTGCGTATTAACTCCATCAAGTTTTGTTTAGTGTTACTTTGAACAATAATCTTAAGTTGAACTTAATGTGAGCTTGGACCCTTTAGCTTTAGAGTTGGGCCATGTCGGGTCAGTATGTTGGTAGGTTGTGCTATTGGGCAATTTATATCCTACACCACGGCGTACATTGCACTATGCGTCCAGATGCAAAACGACGTCGTTTTAATTATTTTTTTTTTTTTGAAATTTTCCGCCCCAGTGAATGGCAGTAGGCTTTTCTTTAAAAAAAAACCCGCTGTTCAAGAATGTACATAATGTTATACTTGAATACACATAATGTTATACATGAATACACATAATGTTATAACAAAATTACATACTCTTTTTAAAAGATAATACACATAATCTAACATAATACATAATAAACATAAACTTTTAACATAATACACATCAACTCTTAACATAATACACACAAATTTTCTGATTCGGATGTACATAATTGTATAAAAACAATGTACATAATTGTATAAAAAATACACATAACTGTATGAACCAATACACATAACGTTGTGAACGAATACACATAACGTTGTGAACGAATACACATAATCTCAGCAACTTCCTACCGCGCCTCCCAACACGACCCCAAAACGACGTCGTTTTGGGAGGCGCGCGGCGCACAGTGCTATGTGCGTCGTGGTGTAGGATATAACGATTGGTGCTATTGCTATTAAAACGAGCAATCGTTATATCCTACACCACGGCGCACATAGCACTGTGCGCCGCGCGCCTCCCAAAACGACGTCGTTTTGGGGTCGTGTTGGGAGGCGCGGTAGGAAGTTGCTGAGATTATGTGTATTCGTTCATAACGTTATGTGTATTCGTTCACAACGTTATGTGTATTGGTTCATACAGTTATGTGTATTTTTTATACAATTATGTACATTGTTTTTATACAATTATGTACATCCGAATCAGAAAATTTGTGTGTATTATGTTAAGAGTTGATGTGTATTATGTTAAAAGTTTATGTTTATTATGTATTATGTTAGATTATGTGTATTATCTTTTAAAAAGAGTATGTATATTTTGTTATAACATTATGTGTATTCATGTATAACATTATGTGTATTCAAGTATAACATTATGTACATTCTTGAACAGCGGGTTTTTTTTTAAAGAAAAGCCTACTGCCATTCACTGGGGCGGGAAATTTAAAAAAAAAAAAGATAATTAAAACGACGTCGTTTTGCATCTGGGCGCATAGTGCAATGTACGCCGTGGTGTAGGATATAAATTGCCTTAAAACGAGCTAACAGGATTACAGGGTGAGTCTTAAATCTCACCACTTTGGTAAGTCTTTGGGTATTTGACAATCAGTTGTTAGCTGATAGTTAATATCTCATTATGTTAACGAATAATTGATAGTTGGTAAAAAAAAAATGTTTAATAAATTAGTTGTTTACAAACCGCATGCATGTAATATGTAAAATGAGTTTAAATGATATGAATATATTACTTTATTTATTGAATTACCTTTAAACTATTTTTAGTTTTAGGTATAAATTTTAAAATAATAATTTTATTTTAATAATTATTGTTGTTACTTTCACCATTGTTATTTATTATTTTAACAATTATTTTTGTTTTTATTAAATAAAAATAATTCAATCTTAAAAATAAAATATGAATAAACATAAACACCACAATAATTATAGCTAAATTAGGCTTTTAAAAATAAAATGTAATCAACTGATGTCAAAATGCTATTTGAAGTAACTTTTTTATTTTTAGATATTCACATCAATAAGCCTAAAAGTTGTTTACCAGTTAAACGATCAAATTTTGTCAAATAAATCAAAATTTAATTGCTAAGTTGTTTTACGAACACCCCCGGCCTTAACATGAAAATCATACCCTATTCCGCCCTTATTTAGGATGGGGTGGACTTAACCGGTTTTGACAGTTCTAAATTGTATCCTAATATTTTTAGGGTTGACACGAGACGCAGCCAACAATTATATATAAATTATAAATATGTAATATAAGTATCATTTTAGTCTTTTAATTGAGACGAAACACGGTTGAACTGTTGAATTGTCTATTAGTCCAACTAACATGCACTCCCAACCATGTTACTTCCTTGGCATATATAATTAATCCATTTAATTCCAAACATTATTTATAGAAAGCACGTAGGCCATACTCCAACTACAGAACTTGGAAAGCAAAAGTGATGAAAAAGAAAATTAAAGCAAGTCACATATACAAAGCACAACTGGATAGGCCTCACAGCAAACACCCTGACGCCGCAAGAGGGGCTGATGACCACCACGACGATGATCAGACCCCAAGAACCAGAACCCATCTCCATTTCTGCTCATCATCGTCCCACCTGGAAACTGTACGAGAATCCCTTTTATACCAATCCCCACAACCTCAACAACAACAACAATAATCATAGTGCCCCTGTCATCAAACGCCACGAAAACAACCAAGTTCTTCACCGCCTGCATCTCCCCGTCTCCGCGCGCAAAATCGCCGCATCTTTCTGGGATTTAACGTTCGTGAAGTCTTCCTACATGGTATCGGAGCTGGAGGCGGCGCGTGCCCAGATCCTGGAGCTGAAGGCCGAGCTGGAATTCGAGCGCAAGAGCCGCAAGAAAGTGGAGTCCATGAACAAGAAGCTGGCCCGGGAGCTCTCCGAGGAGAGGAAACACAAGGACGCAATGCGGAAAATGTTCGACCGCCTCGCCGCCGAGGCCTCGTCGGAAAAAGCCCAGATCAAGCGGGTGAAGAAGGAGATGGAGGAAGAGCGGAAGATGCTTCGCGTGGCGGAGGTTTTAAGGGAAGAAAGAGTTCAAATGAAGCTCTCCGAGGCCAAGTTTTTGTTCGAGGAAAAAATGATGGAACTGGAGAAATCAACCGAGAATCTCCACCTCGAAAAACCAAAATCTCCAGACAACGTTATTCCGACAACCACTGTTTCTTGTTCTTCTAACCAAAGCAGAGCAGTGGCGACCAATAATCCAAGAAAAGCTTCTCCGGAGGCAGAAAACCCACACATCAAAAGAGGGATCAAAGGATTCGTGGAGTTTCCGAAAGTGGTTAAAGCAATCGGATCAAAAAGCAGGCAGTTGAGCACAAAGTTGGAGTGTCAGAAAGCACAGTTAAGGTTGCTTCTCAAACAGAAGAATCCTGTTCGATCCAACATTGGCCTTCTCACAAGCTAATTAATTATAAGTTTGCAGGTTTTAGTTTTTGCACTTTTTGATCGGTTGATGTTTTGCTGTTTGAATGAAGTTTTACAGTGTTTTCTTAGGGAATCATCATACAGTGTTTGCCTTAGTATACATATTTTTTTGTGATTGTAATTGATGTAAAATAGGCATGTTATATGAGGTTTGTTACTGGGAACCTTTCAGTTTCTTATGAATTTAATGTTGGTTTATGTATTAAAATGTGTTAAATAGGATAACAGAATTCCATTTATATAATATTAAAGTGTCTCCATATGGTGTTTTTAATTTTTCTTTTTCTAATTTTTTTTTTTTTTTTTTTGGTTCTAGCTAAGGTGGTCCAATTTCTCTCACATGTTAGGCCAAATCATTAACATATTTGGGAGAAGTATATGTGGAAATGAATTTAATTAGTACCAAATTAGTTGAAACCCTTATGTAACATTTAAACTCAAGTACAATATTTGCTGATTTATGGGTTTTGTTTGATACTTTTTCCTAACAAATAAGATATAAGGAGGGAAAATGTGAATCTCAATCCCTTACTCTTATATATACTACAGAATGTTCATCAAAGGAAATAAAATACAAGGTGTTTCTGATCCCACACATTCCAAAAAGGGAAAAAAAAAATCACTAATACAAAACAGTTCATTCGCGTACAATAGGGCACCTATGAACCAGACGCTAATAGTCTTCACTTTAGGCATCTGTTGTTCTCAGACGCCTAATATGGACTATAGGCGTATGTTCTTTCCTAAAAATCATTGAAAAATTTTAAGGTGTCAATTAGTACTGGTGTCGTTTGTACATGATACAATCCCAAAGTGAATAAGAAAGATTTTGCATTTCTACCAAATATTGCAAAGTGAATAAGAAAGACTTTCCATTTGTACCAAATATTGCAAGAACCTTTCAACGTTTTTTAACTTGTTTTCAGTATAAGCGACACCAATATTGGTTGGCACTATAAATTTTTCCATAGCTTAATTTGATGCATCTCTTAACAATAGATGAGAACAACTCTACCAAGTTTTTTAGATAGCATTAATAGCCGACTTAAATTAGACGTCGTCGTTGACACAAAACCACATTGATAGAGAAAAAAAATTATAGTCTTTATTGTTTTTCGTTTCTTTATTTGTATTGCAAAATTCATATTTTTAGTAAAAAGGAATTTGATTTGTTACGTTAAGTTTATGTGTTGATTTTAATTTAATGAAAAGAAATATTAAATATGAATACAGCTTGGAGGGGGGACAAAATGAAGGTTGGCGGATAAGAAAAGATTAACTTTAAAAATAATAATAATAAAGTTAGGCCAAACTGGGTATGCAACACTTATTGGATCAATGAGGAAGCAATCTCATCTTATAACAGGAAGTAATAATGCTTCCACTTCACTATTGTTGGCCCATTATGACAGTGACGATGATGAAAATGATGATACATATAATATATGCTTCTCTTTTAATTTTATGAAGTTATGATTTCTACAACAATGATCCGCACATAATATTACACAATCAAAAGTTGAATCGTGTCAAATGAATAAATCATGCTTTCCTTTTCTTTTTTAATCAACAAACTTGATTTTACAACTCACTATCTCAAATTATATATATATATATATATATATATATATATATATATATATATATATATATATATATATATATATATATATATGGATGAGATCTGGTGCGAAGAAAGTCTCAAGTGAAACATGCGGTGAGATCTGAGTCGTCGATCAAATCTATATCAATGACTCAAATCAATGAAAATTAAATATATAAAAAAATAAACGCGCCCCGAGAAGAAAGAAGCAAAGTAAAAATGGTGCATCATAAGTGTTACAAAGACGCACCTTAATTTTAGGATGACGCACTTTAAGTGTTAAAATGACGCACCTTAACTATTTAATTGACGCACCTTTAGGTCTCGTTTGGTTCGCGGAAAATATTTGAAGGGAAATGGAATTGAGGGGAAAAGAAATTACCAGGAAGATTAATTACAATGTTTGGTTTGTGGAAAATAAATTACTGGAAATATCGATTCCATTGTTTGGTTGAGTTTGGAATTGTAAGAAATAATGAGTATAAAGACAAGTATGTCCCTACATAATAATAACAACAATAGTAATAATGGTAATTAAGAAAAGTTGGTGAAGACATAATTGTCCAACTTATTTTTCATGGAAAACAAAATATGAAGGGGGACCATGGAAAATGTTTTCCTCATTTTTGAGGAAAATATTTTCCATGAACCAAATAAAGGAAAATCTAGTTTTTCTCAAATTCAAGGAAAACATTTTCCTTTGGAAAACATTTTCCATGAACCAAACTTGCCCTTAGTGTTAAAAATGGCGCACCTTAAGTGTTACAAAGATGCATTTTAAGTGGTAAAATCACGCACCTTAAGTGTTAAAATGACATACCTTAAGGGGAGAACTTATGCACCTTACATCAGTTACATGTATAACCGACGTACCTTAAATGTTTAAATGGCACACCTTAAGTGTTAATATGACGCACCTTAAGCTATTAAAAAAGACGCAGCTAAAGGTTTAGAATGACACACCTTATGTTTCAACAAAAAACGCACCTTAAGTTCTCAATTGAAGAACTAACGCACCTTAAGCACAAAAATTACGCACCTTAACTTTCAACAATACGAAAAATGATCAAATTGTCACTGCGTTTTTTTAATCTGTGTTCATCCTGGACGTTGATTTTGGTAAGATCAATGGCTATCATTCGACCGTATGTTTCACATGGATACAACCACCGCATTTGATCTCTAATATATATATATATATATATATATATATATATATATATATATATATATATATATATATATTCACGGATGATAATGCATTCACGGATAACTAACAGTGCACTTAAGGTCTATAAGATTGTTATCTACAAATGCACCATTAAGCGTTTTCATATATACACTTTTGTAATTAGGGAATTTCCACCATATTTTTTTTCTTAATTTCTAGCCTTTAATAATCTTAGATGGATCGGACATATAAGATTCATCCGCACGTTCTCACTCTGTGTGTGTAGGGGTGGATTAAATGAGAACAGAGTCATCTTGTAAAAAGTGATAACTGATTTCAATTGTCCCGCATGGTTCGTCATTGGTTAAAGATTTTAGTATAAAAATATGTGATCAATTTTATAATTATTGAAAATATTTAAGTTTTCAATATTGAAAAAAAAAAAAAAAAAAAAACACCTACCTTTTTTCCACATATTTCAGCAATCATCAACCTTTGACTACTCAAATAGATTGATCATATCAGTACTCATTTTTTATGTCTGATGAGCAACCAAATCCACTTTGACCTGATTCAAATTGAAAGTGGACCTCACATATATTTGTACCCCAAAATAATCACTTAAAATGTCATTTTTGCTAAAAAATTTCAACATGTACCTCGCACAAAACTACAAATTAAATTGCATCTAGTAATATGTAAAAATGCACTCAAAATGATTGTAGTTTTACATCTTATCAAATAATACATTTTGTAGTTTGCACTTTTAGTGTTAAATTTGTAATATTTATGTTCTCAAAAAAAAATTGTAATATTTATTAAATTATCAGTGCATTTTCTTCTTACTTTAAGCGAGTTATCATATAAAGTTACTAATTCAACATATACGAATCAATAATAATTTTTTAAAAAAAATTAATAAAAAATAAATAAATAAATAAAAATCAGGTAATCATATCATTGGATTCATGGCTCATCAAAGAAGAACACCAAGTTGAAGATGCCATGGCCTAGCGTCTTTGTCTTCATGGTATGGTGTCTTGGGCGTCGCATTGGGCGTCGTATTTTTTTTTTGAAAACGGCGTCGTATATTAATTAATTGACTAATTATAATATATATATATATATATATATATATATATATATATATATATTTCGAACACTATATATAGTAAAATGAAATGTAGGTCAGATTCAAGATTATTACTTTAAGAAAGCACAATTTAAGTCACAAACTAGAAGGTTACCCAAATGATGTCCGGTGTCGTCATTTTCGTTGGTATGTGTAATTCTCAAAATATTTAGGGTATGTTTGGTTCATGAGTTTATTTATACATTAGGAATGAGAATCAAAATTATAGTTAGTGTTTGGTTAACAATTTTTTAAAATACAACTATGAGATTTGATTACCCCTTCAATTAAAAATTTTATTCCCTAATTAAAAATGTATCATTTTATCTTATTTGTAATATGATTTTTAAGTTTGAATTTGTGCTTTTAGATTTTTGTTTTGATTTTTTTATTCATATTGGCGCTTGGGATGTAATTATATTATGATCGATCAATTGCTTTGATTTTTTGTTTTTGTATTTTTAAACATTTATATCCATTATAGGGTTATACATAACCAAACATCAATATTGGTAATCATTCCAATTCCACCATACTACCAAACATGCAAAATACTTTCACCAAAACTCATACCATCACCAAGTATTAGATTCTCATTCCGATTTCGAGTCCCATGTGCGAACAATCATTATTGTGTGGACCATATTTTGTATACTGTAAAATAATGTACATTCAGTACAAAAATAATGTACATTTAGTATATTAAAAATGTACTTTTTGTTATAGTCCACATAACACTGTATAATTTGTCATGTGCGAACCAAACACACCCTTAATCTAATAATGCAATACACTATTTCACCAATAATGATTTAAATAAATTATAGGCATAAGTGTCAAATAGGTCCATTTACTACTTTGAAATGTTCAATTTCCCCCACCATCTAAAATATATGCTAATCAGGCACATTTACCTTCTAAATTTGTTCGATTAGATTTTTTTACAGGTTATCACCAAGTTGTCCATCCAGCTAGTTGACGTGGAAAATATATTTGGTGTCGTTTGGTGTCGTTTCATCATACTTGACAGAGTGGTCTTTGGTGTCGGCGTCTCCCTCAATTCCTTCACGGCATCTCCCTCAATTCCATCAATTTTATCATACTTGGCAGAAGTGTCAAGCACTAACAGCTTGGAGAAAAATTAGGCATATTAACATTATTAAATCAAGAAATTAAAATTAAAGACGATTAATTATGGTTTAATGTTTTACCAAAATTAAAGCCGCATAATGAATTTCCGCCGGAGACGGAATTGTTGCTGCATAACGAAAGAAATGGCGGCGGAGACGGTACTGCTGCTGC